TGTTCTGTGTTTCAACTTCAACCGTGTTTTTTTTTGTATTCTTTTTGTTTTTTTGGTTTTTTTTGAGACAGAGTCTCACTCTGTCACCATGGCTGGAGTGCAACGGGCTGGATCTCAGCGTCTGACTGCCAAGCTACCGCCTCCCGAGTTCACGCCATTCTCCTGCTCAGCCTCCCCATGGAGCTGCTGTAGCAGGGACCTGCACTTTCCCGGCTATGTTTTTTTGGTATTTTTGTTGTCCAGTAGAAGACGGCTGGTTGTCACCGTGTTAGGCCATGATCGGGTCTCGGGATCTGTCCGAGCCATGCGTGTGATCCGCACCAGTCTTGGCCTCTCCGAAGAGTGCTGGGGAGTTACAAGCTGATGCGCACCTCCCGCCCGGCTTCCCACAGGTTGTTTTTTAAAACAAGCCCGTGAGGACAGATTAGACTGACCGCTGTGATGATGGAATAGTGACATCTTTTAAATAATAGCATTTTCGGCTTCTCTTTGAATACCATGTAAGTCCAGTCTCTATTATTCGACTCTCCCATGCTGTACACCTATTAACCAGTGTGCACCGTTGGCTCTCGCTCCAGTTCCTCACTTGCACGGACCTCTGTACCCCAGGGCTGAGGCTGAGCATCTTGTCAATTTCCCGGATCTGCTAGGGTTTTTCTCTCGCGCGCGCCAAACCTGCTGGCCTTTTTGTCCCATGTGCAGAGGTTACCAGCAAGATAGGCTGAAACCAAAGAGATAGGCATACATGGAAAGGAAGACTTGTTTTAGAAATCAGGAGATACTGTTGTGTTGCATTAAAAAATGGATGGAGATAATTAGTCAAAATAAAGGTATGCTGTGCCAAAAGAGTATGACTTGAGATGCCATTGATGGTATGAACATGCCCCCTCTTTGTTTATTTATCTCTATGACGTAGAGTTGAACCCCTCTTTATCCTCTTCTCGATGGTAAGAATCAATCCATTCCCATAACTATAGGTACTCTGTGGGTGTAATTAATCGTATTCTCCCAAATGTATATTGAACTGGTAAATGCCCCGAGCTGCAAAATGTGTCTGTATAGAAGATAGGATCTTGTGTGGATCCTGTAAAACAGATGTGAGGGGGACCAAATGAAATCATTTTAGTGGTAGCCCTAGTATAAGCCCAAATCTTTTTATCGTTTAGAGACAATGTCTCGCTCTCCTGCAGACTAGAGTGCTAGTGGAGATACATAGGCTCACTCTTGCTTATCATTATGCCAGAGGTTGCAAATTTTGTGTGTGGAAATATCAGACTTTTGACTGTTGACAGATCATGGACTTCCAGTCTCCAGAACTGTGAGCAAATAAATGCCTCTAAGCCACCTAGTCTGTGGTACTTTGCTATGGCAGCCCTAGCAAACTAACATACATCTCTGTGCTGAAAATCCCACATCCAAGTCCGCAGCCCACACTACTGTGCTAAAACTCCAGACCTGAATACCCTACCGCCTCCATTACAGGTTCAAGGAAAAATTTCACAGGGCTAAGCAGAGCTGCAGAGGCAGGAATTGACTATGGAGGGAAGATATAGGTGTGGCTACATTAGACAGTACAGTAGTGCCCCCTATTCAGGAGGGATATGTTTCTAGACCTCCCAGTGGATGCCTGAAACTGAGGCTGGTGTGGAACCCTATGTATACAATGTTTTTTCCTTTACATACATACCTACAGTAGATTATAATTTATACATTAGGTGACAACAATAGCTAATAATAAAATAGAACACTTATAACAAAATGCCAGTACCACCTCCCTTGTACTTTGGAGCCATTATTCAGTAAAATAAGGTCGACTTGAACACAAGCACTGCTTCACTGCGACAGTCAATCTGATAACTGGAGTGGCTACTAAGTGACTAACAGATGGGTAGAGTATACAGTGTGGAAACGCTGGACAAAGGGATGATTCACTTCCCGGGCAGTACAGAGTGGGATGGCAAGAGATTTCATTACACTACTCAGAAGAGTATGCAATTTAAAACTTATGAATTGTTTATTTCTGGAATTTTCCATTTAATATTTTTAGATCACTGTTGGCCACAGGTAACTAAAACCAAGGAAGGCAGAACCTCAGATATGGGGGAAACTCCATAAAGGGAAAGAAGTCTGAACAGGTAGGTTATGTTGGGATTGTAAAGCACTAAGAGGTAGTAGGTTTTCTGAAGACCACTCAAGATTTCAGAGTTGCATTTTGGAAAGTTTAATCACGGGACTGTTACCTTCCCTTATTAGGAACAGTTAACATGGCTTAAGAATGTTTTGTTGTTGTATTTCAATCCTGAAACCCTCCAACCAAACATTGCAGACCGCAATAAACATTTGTTGAGTTCAATTGACCTAAGTCATTCCACATCAGAGCAAAAGGGCACTGCAAGGCTGAATTAGCATTGACTGGGTTGTGCAAACTGCCTCAGGGGAGAAGGCCTGAGTTTTGACCTAGGTCAGGATGAGATGTTGCACACGATTCACAGAAGGGGCTGGGGAAAAAACTAGAACGACAAGGGAAATTCTCCTCTGGAGCCTTTGGAGGGAGCATGCCCCTCCCAGCACTTCGATTTGGGGCTTCTGGCCTTCAGAACACTGAGAGAATAAGTTTCTGTTGTTTACAGTCACCAAGTCTGTAGTAATTTGTTGAAGGAAATTAATTTGGTAGACAACCAGATTAGAACCACACATATATAGTCAACTGATTTTCAACAAAGGTGCAATGTAATTCAATGAGAAAGTAATAATCTTTTCAAGCAATGTCACTGGAACAATTAGATATCCAAATGAAACAAAACAAACCTCAGCCTCTACCCCCACAGCATATATAACATTGATGTGAAATAAACTATAGACCTGAAAGCTAAATCTATAAAACTTCCAGAAGATAACAGAAGAAAAAGTTTTTATGACCTTGTAGGCAAAGATTTAAGACACAAAAAGCACTGACCATAAAAAAAAAATGATGAAGTAGAATTCATAAAAATTCAAAATGTCTTCAAAAGACACCATTGAGAAGGTAAGAAAAAAAGAAGAAAATATTCACAGTACATATATCTGACAGTTTGTGTCCAAAATATACCAAAAACCCTCAAAACTCAATAATAAGAAGACCAACAACCCAATTAAAAAGGGGAATGGCAAAAGACTAGCAAAGAGACTTCACCAAAGAAAATATAAAAATCACCAAAAAGTCCATGAAAAACTGTTCAACATAATTAGTCATCAGGGAAATGCAAGTTGAAACCACGATGAGATACCACTTCACACCTAGAAGAGTGGCTAAAATTAAAAAGTTAATACCTAGGGCTAGCAAGGCTTACTATCCTTGGTGCAAAAATTACTTTTAATGGCAAAAACCACACCTATGTTTGCACTCACCTAATAGAACACTCATGCCCTAATGGCAAGAGTGTAAAATGGTACAGATGTTTGGAAAACAATTTGGAAGTTCTTACAAAGTTAAATATATACTTATCATATAACCCAGCCATTATACTTCTAAGTATTTAGTTCCCCACAAAATGAAAACATGCATACACACACATCAAAAAAAAAATGCTTACACAAAAATGTTTCTACCAGCTTTATTCATAAAAGCCGGAAACTGAAAACAACCCCAAGTCCATCAACAGGTGAATAGATAAACAAATTGTAGTATAGCCGTCCAATAGACTACTCAGCAATAAAAAGGAATGAATTACCGATACACACAACATAGATTAACCTCAAAAACACATTACCCTGAGTGAAAGAAGCCAGTCGGAAAAGGGTATGTGGCTGCATTCCTAAGAAGTTCTAAAACAGACACAGTCCATCTATTGTGATGGAAATCAGATCAATGGTAGCCTGGGGTTGTTGATGGGAGTGGAAGTGACTGGGAAAGGGTGCAAGGGAAATGTTTGGGGTGCTGGAAATGCTTTTATCTTGATTGAGAAGGTGGTTATATGGTAAATTCATTTATCCAAGCTCATCAGTCTGTACGCTATGATTTATATACAGGTAAATCGTACCTCAATAAAGTTAACTAAAAACACATTTCACCTCTGAGTTTTTTGTTTCTTTAAGCACTGTGTGAGTCCGTTCTCATACTGCTATGAGGAAATACCTGAGACTGGGTAATTTATTTTAAAAAAAGAGGTTTGGTTTTATTTTATTTTGTTCTGTTTTTGAGATGGAGTCTCAGGCTGTCACTCAGGCTGGAATTCAGTGGTGCAATCTCGGCTCACTGCAGCTTCCACCTCCCAGTTTCAAGAGACTCTCATGCCTCTGCCTCCTGAGTAGCTATTACAGGCGTGTGCCACCACACCTGGCTAATTTTTTGTATTTTTAGTACAGATGGGGTTTCACCATGTTGGCCGGGCTGGTCTTAAACTCCTGACCTCAGGTGATCTGCCTTCCTTGGCCTCCCAAAGTGCTGGGCTTACAGGCGTGAGCCACCACACCTGGCCAAGAAAAAGAGGTTTAATGGACTCACAATTCCACATGGCTGGGGAGGTATCACAATCATGGTGGAAGGGGAAGGAGAAACAAAGGCACGTCTTACATGGTGGCAGGCAAGAGAGCATGTGCAGAGGAACTGCCCTTTATAAAACCATCAGATCTTGCAAGACTTATTCATTAACACAAGAACAGCATGGGGAAAACTTGCTCCCATGATTCAATTACTTCCCATCGAGTCCCTCCCACAACACATGGGGATTACAGGAACTACAATTCAAGATGAGATTTGGGTGGGGATATAGCCAAGCCATATCAAGGACCAAAACTAAAAGGAAATTTTACATAATGAATGTCTCAGATGTCATTTATATGAATGGAGGTAACAAGGAGTAGACTAAGTTTAAAAAGACAGATGAGGCTGGAATATGACTTTGAAGGATTTTGCCAGTCCTACTAAGATATTTGGACCTTATGGTAGAGGCAGTGAGATAAAAATTTTATGGATTACATTCTATCTACACTGTCATTATATCTTTATAGGGAAATGCATTTATTTTTCAATATAGGCTATGGACGCTGATGCTTACATCTTCTACACAGGAAGTATGCAATTTATCAGTATGCAGCTGGGATAGCAATCCATTCAAACAAATTCTGTTCATAAATATGTATGGATTCAGGTGTTTCATGTGTCATACCTAATTTTGCTGACACAACAGCACTGAAAGACAAGCACATTATATTAGTTAGCATTTCCTGCATAATAAGCTACTCCAAAACTAGTGACTTTAAAAAAACAACCACTTACATAGCTCACCATTTGGCAGGTAGACAGTTGTATTGGGCTTAGCTGGGAGATACTTCTCGCCTTATCTGGGTTCACCTTTGCCTTTGTACCCAGTGCTAGGTTGACTGGAAGCTGACTGATTTAGAATGGCCTTTCTTGGAATGGTTCCTTTCAGCTCCACGTGTCTCTCATCCTCCAGCAAGCCAGGCCAGATCTCATGCATGGCTACTGGGCAGAGCTCCAAGAGAGACACGTGCAATGTGTCTTCTAGAACCTAGACTCAGAACCAGCACCTATCATTCCATTGGCCAAAGCAAGTTAAAAAGGAATGGGAAATGGACATCACTTCTTGATAGGAGGAACTGCAAAGCCCACTGCCAGTGGTGAGCATCTTGGGAGGAGTGGAGGATTGTGACCATTTTTACAATTGACTAAAATTATTATCTCCATTTTATGTAAAGAAAAAACAAGATTCAGAGAAGTTAAGTAACTTTTATAGGGTCACACAGCCAATAAATTACAATGAGTTGCTGGGCTTTGATTCTAACTCATTTCTACAGCAAAATGTGGATCCTCATTTTAAGGAACTTACAGTATTTTATGCTGCTTAATCCATTCTTCCATCCCTCTATAATGTTATAGAATCAACCGATCAGGGGATGAAGGAACAGAAAGTTTATGAGTAGTAGATATTTCTGAAATGATTTCAAATGTGACAGATTATTTCCTGAGATATAAATGGAAAAGAAATTCACTTCCTTTTGGTGGCATCGGGGGCTGAAAATGTCCCCAGCGAAGATTCCATTTGCCCCCACATTTCCTTATCCTTCATAAGAAGGGGAACATATAAAAGCCAAGCAGGCTCTTGACCCAGAGCTGGCTGAGGATACAGCACACACACATCCATGGTTGCATCTGCAGCGTTTGGGTGCAGTCACAGGCAGCTTCAAAGGAAAAAGGAAAGGGAAAAAACCTTCTCTCTGTAGCTAGGCTACCAGTTCCTGTGTAGATTTCTCAAGATCCAGGCAAGAGGACATGTGGAGAACTTCCCCATGTTTAGAAACATCAGATGGTTGCCAAAACAAGCCAATTTAGAACTGAGCGTGACAAATGCACATTTGAGGTTGAAAAACACATTTGAGGTCACCTGGGGAACCCACTGTTTCTGAGATCTCCACAATGGGGTAGGGTGAAGCGTAGCAGAGAATGCGTTCACTGAGCACCCGGCCAGCCTGGGTGGGGCGGGAACAGCCTGGTTGCTACAGGACGTGGGGCAAGGCATGGTATCCTTGGAAATATACACATATACATTGACATTGACAAAAGGAGGAAGTGGCAAGGAAAGAAATGTGGAAACCATCGGAGCTGAAAGCTTTTGTCTCTAAATTTGCTTGTGTGTGAGAACTAGAGAAAGTTGCTTACTGTTGCCTCTGCACATTTGAATGGGTTGATTAGATCCTTCTTACCAAAGTAAATGGAGCGCCATGGTGATCTCCAAACTTGCCCAACTGTAGGCGGCACTCAGCTGGAACGTTTGTGCACAAAACACCTGGACCTGCGTCAGGAGATTCTGATTCTGTAATAGGTCAGGATGGGGCCCAGGAGTCTGTGTTTCCTGAGAGCTCCAGACGACTGTGATTCTCAGGCAAGCAAGGATGTACCAGCGTGCAGCTGTGCAGAGCTTCCCGGCTAAACACACACAGAACATCTTTGAGGGGAGGGGAGTGCTCTCTTCTTGGTGGAAGGCAACATACTCAAGGACTGGTCAGTATCTTAGCACATCTATAGTAGGTGTGATATTCCAAATATGTAGCTACAACAGGGTACAGTCTCTGGCCACTGGGATCCCTGTTCTGCTAGGTGTCTGCTCTTTGCACAGTTACTACACTTTGAGAGTCTGGGGTAATCTGGGGCAGCAGGATAAGGCTGGAGGTCTCCACAGACTTAGGCCTTGGTGATATATCACCTTATAAGGAAGAAGTCCAACATTCAGCATAGCTAGATGGGGGTGTCCCTCTGAATAACAGAACTGCCTGAAATACATTCACCGGGCACCATTTAGGAGGTTTTTGAGGTTATAGGAAAAGCCTGACATTTGGAGTCCCAAAGCTGTGTGTTCCCACACAGGCACTAGCATGTAGTATGTGATGCTGGCTGTGTGGAAGCTTCCGTTTCCCTGTCCCCAAAGGAGGGAGATGATGTGTCTTATTTCATAAGGTCACGGTGAGTGTCTAATAGACAGTGGAGCCCCAAGCACTTTCATCAGGTCTATAGCAGTGTACAAGTGTTGGTTTACTTCTTCCCATCATGAAATTTAAAGACATCTTGGGTACCTCCGTGTATACATTGTTTGGGATTTTTGTTTTGTTTTTTCCAGTCTGTGAAATGATCTAAGAGTTCACATACAGATCCGTAATCCCTTATCTGAAAGTTCAAAAGCTTCAAATTCCAAAAGACTTCCCACATTTGGTGGGACAATCTGACCTCCCTGAGTTTGTTTCCCAGCTAAACCTACCATGAGGCTTTTCGTGGTTTGTGTTTGTCACCTGCTTATGGTTTGCTCCAGAGTTACTAGTGTGTTGGCTTTGGAGGGCTTTCCAGACTCCCCTAGGGGTGTTATATAATGCAAGTTATATGCATACATTATAAGATATGAAAGTCCTGAATTCTGGAATAATCTGATCCCAGTGGTATCAGAGAAGGGACTGTGGACCTGTCACTCCTCCACTAAAGGTTATGGAATTATTAGCTTTAAAGGGAGTCTTAAGGATCACTGTACTCATGTCAGGAGTCTTCTACCACATCTCTTAGACATCTTCTAATTGCTGTTTGAAATCTTCCAGAACCAAGGACTTTACTGAAGTCCCAGACACTCATTCCACTGTGGATCACTTCTTCAAAGGACTTCCAGCATCTGCACCAGTGCAAAATAAAAACATGGAGAAAAATGCCACTAAAGGTACTAAAATATAAAGCTTTCCTCCTCTCTCTCTCTCTCTCTCTCTCTGTCATGGAATTTTTTTTTTTACTTGCTATTTAACTTTGTAAGCAAAGAAAAATTAAAATGTTAAATGATTAGCATAAATTGTGTTCATCTTGACGTTGTGCATTTCCAGTTTTAAATGCAAATAGAGACATTTAACTTACATGTGGAATCACTGATATTATGCAATTTGTATTTTGTAGCTTATACGTGTATATGTATTTGTTCTCACCAGTACAGCTAAGACAGAATACCAAATTAGCTGAGCTATTTTAATTCAATTCTGTGTGTGTGTGTGTGTGTGTGTGTGTAGAGACAGGGTCTTGCTATGCTGCCCAGACTGGTCTCAAACTCCTGGCCTCAAGTATTCCTTCCACTTCGGCCTCCCAAAGTGCTGGAATTAGAGACGTGAGCCACCATGCCCAGCCCCTTCATGTCTTGATATGGGTACATTCCACCCAAACACTACCCTCCTCTTCCGGAGGAATAAAGAAGGACTGAAAGGAAAGGGACCATCTTTCCTTGTCCTTCTATGCCGTCATCATCACCCTATGTGGTTGGTCAATACAGGGAAGCAACATGAATGAGAATGGATGTGACAAGATGCCTTGATTGTTCCTGTTTCTTAGAACACCACTGCCTACTTTGTGCCTTCAAAGCAAATTCTGGTGTGAAAAGAAAATGTGACCCCTTTGGGAGTGGCAGAGACCCCCCATTCAGTCGTAGCTGTAACACACTTACCTCGTGCTCACTTTGAGTCTCACCGATCACTGACGCATCGTGGGTTCAGAGAGCATCTTGAACGCTCTGTGTGAATGAACAGCAAGGGACAGAGACACACACGTTGCACTTCCCTCCTTGGGTCACAGTCATGCTTCAGTGTCCCATCAGACTTCACTTACAAAACAAATTCAAAGATAAAAGTGTTAAGAATTTCAAGGCAGCAACAGCACAGCCTTAATCCAAGCACTAGGCCTTACTGAGCAAGGGGTCCTGTGGGGCTGCCCAGGCCGCTCACCCAGGAAGCTGGGCCTGCAGGGTCTACAGAGGTGGGTTGTTCCGGTCCTTTCTACGTTTGGACTACTCAACTTTAGGGCCCCTGAGGGAGCCCGTATCTAAGTCACCTAAGGGTTCTAAGTGGGGGAAATTCATGTGTGCAGTTGTCAGGGGCTGAAATGCCTTTCTGTGCTGGCCTTAACAGATGAAAATGTAATGCCTGGAAATATGGCTGCCATTTTATGACCATGAGGAGATAAGCCTAAGGACCAAAGCTAACATGTCAAAAGTGGCAGAGCAGAAAGCAGTTGGATCCTCATTATTGAACCACAAGATTAAACAACCCTTTAGCTGCCTTGCCTCAAGAATTCTTACTATATGAGATGATAAATGCCCTTCAAGTTGAATCTACCTTTGGTTGACTCTTCTATTAGTGCAGGCAATAGCATCAAATCCCATAACACAGACACAACCCTACATTTGCAGGAGCTGTGTCAGCCTTGATGCTGCATCCCCTGTACTTGGAGGTGTGTGTTCCGCAACCTGACTTAGACCACCTTCCTGGTGGAGAGGAAGGTGGAGGTAAGTGCCTACTCCAGGTCTCTAACTTATCTACCTGCTTTGTTCCCAGTGTAGTAACCACCTCGCCCTTTCAGTTGCATTTCAGGCACTTCAACCAACCTAAGATGAGCACAATCTGTGTGCCACTTGCCAAGACCAGGAAGGCAAAGAAAACATGGGCCTTGACCTCAAGTTGCTCACAGCCAGGCTGGAAAGAAACGTTGACAAAGATTGTCATTAGTGTCTAAGATTCAGTTCTCTGGAAAGGAACTGTAATATGGAGAACCAGATTCAGAAGGGTTACTGAGTATTGCTCTCGAGGGATATACCAGTAGGAAGAGAGGAAGACAGAATTGGGAAGAGAGAAGTGACCCACATTGTGGTACAGCTGAGACTTCAGACAATCCCATGTGAAGCTCTGGAGCTGGGGAGGCCCTTCAGAGTTGCCCCAAATTACAGTAAATGGGCTGGATCTTCATATCCCTGATCAGTCAGTCATCAGCCATGGGCTGCCCCTGGGAGACAGTATAACAGCGGGTGAGACACAGGACGGTTCCCAGTGAAGGATGCAGGGCAGGCTGGGGTGCCAGGGGGAGGTGGGGCCACAGTCCATGCGCAGTTACAATGAACAAAGGAAGGCAGCTCTGACATGAATGATGATTGAGATTTTTATTTGCATTAATGAGTGAAATAAAAGTGATATTCCCAGCAGGGGGATGGGCATATTGCCTGAAGAGGGAACCTTGATTAGGCTTTATAATATTCATATCAGTTAGGTTGACCATATAATTTATCCAAACTAGGACACTTTCAAGAGAGAAAGGGAACATTATTAATAATTACATCAGTACAACGGTTTCTGTGCACTGTTCTCATTTTACAGATGAGGAAACTGAGGCACAGAAAGGTTGAGAAACAACACCATTTGCTAACCAGCAGTGGTGAAGAGCCAGAGCCAGTTTTCACACTCTGACGGTCTTATTCCAGTGACTAATTCTCGACACTGTAGAGATAGAGTTGGCAGACTTGGCGATGGATTGGCTAAGGGGTCTAAACTGGGAGGGCCAGAAGGGACCCTGACATTCAGGCTTGAGCAACTGGGAAGATGGTGGGACTCTTGACCTGAGAGGGTGTCAAAGCGGGGTGAGGGGAGGGAGGAAAAGGGGATCTCAGACCTTCAGTGAGTGGCAGTGCAATCACTCCGCTGGCTTCTTTTATTTTTTGAGACAGGGTCTTGCTCTGTCACCCAGGCTGGAGTACAGTGGCACAATCATAGCTCACTGCAGCCTCACACTCCTGGGCTCAAGGATCCTCCCACCTCAGCCTCCCCAGTAGCTGGAATACAGGCACATGCCGCCAAGCCCAGCGCATACTCCATGCCTGGCTAAATTTTTTATTTTTTGTAGAGGCTGGTCTCAGCATGTTGCTCAGGCTGCCCCACTGGCTTCAGTGTAATAAGTGGAAACTGAAAGATAGCTTTCTCAAATTATTCATGTTTATTGTAGAATCATCCAATATAAAATAATATCTTATCTAGAATTATTCAGTCTTTCTGAACCAAAGCTTCCTAGTGATGCACCCCCTGCCCCCACACACATTTTTAGGTGGGGGTAAATAGCCACAGTACCTCACCCTTAGGTGAGTATCTCAAGAGCCTATTGGTGCCCCAATAGCTACGGATGCTGTCTCTTCTCACTGTGGACTGTATTTGCTATAAGGGCTCTCTCAGAGCATGGAGCTTCCAGCCAGAGGCTCACCCTCTAGCGATGGGACAGGAGACACAGCATGCAGTTCCATGGCGGCAACAAGGGTGCCTGGGCTGTGAAAGCTCAGAGTTCTGCTCCAAGTGGGACATTTTCTTCTGGGATTGGTCCTCCAGTGACATTGCTGCTCACGTCCTTTTGATCAGTTACATGCAAACTTGCAAACCCTCAGGGTTGCTCTTATATACTGTGAGTGCACACATTGACTCCGCTACCCCCATCCATTTGGCCGTGGGATTTCCTGATATGCAAATTGGGCAACCCTTAGAACAAGAACTGATAAAATGTTATGGCCAGAATTGAGACTTAGAGTCCCAAATGATACACTTAAGCATGTTGTAGAAGGGAAGCTGAGAAAAGAAGCAAATTTGGAGAGAAAGACTAAGGATTCAGCCCTGCATATGATTAGTTTGAGGTACCAGTGAGGCGTTCAAGGGAAATGTGTGCCCATGAGAGGTTGACTTTGTAGTCTAGGTGTTTACAGAGATCTTGGTTTTCTATAGAAATTTGGGGATCATAAACTGGTTCATGGTTATTATCTGCCACATGAAAAGTATTGGCATGGAGAGTAGCTAGAACAGAAGTATGAGGCCCTACAGCATTTAAGGGTTGGATACAAGAGGAGGAGCTGGAAAAGGAGTTCAAGGAAGAACAGGTCGGGGCAGAGGGGACCCAGGAGAGATGACTGTCAGAGAATGCCCGGGAGTGGGTTTTAAGGAGGAACAGTCAGTAGTATAAATGCTGTGGATAGGTGTACAAGAGAAAGTCTCCAAAGCACAGGTCACATTTAGACATATGCAGGTCACCATATCTCTATGGCAAGGACCAACTTCAGTGAGTGGGGGGTTGGCGGGGGGGCAAAAGCCAGAAGATTGGTTGAAGAACGAGCAAGAATGAGTAACAGGAGTTACAGAGGGTAGATAATTTGTTTAAGAAGTTGCCTGTCAATGGCTGGTGGGGGTGACAAAAAAAATAAAAAGCCCTAGTGGGTGGGGCATGATTTCAAGAGAGACATTTTCAAAGATAAGAGAGCTAAGCATGTCTTTCACTGATAGGAACTAATAAGGAGATAGAATGGGGCAGGCTGAAGACACAGAGAGGGATGAAGCATTGAAGGAATCCAGAGATCCAGATCCAGAGAAGGAAGACATTAACAACAAGAATGAACAATTCCCTGCTCCCTCCATGAACAGTGCTTTTGTGGATGTCTGTAAATTCCACAACCCGAAGAATAGGTCAACTAAAAGGACAACTACAAAACCACTCAGCCTGCACCATCAGTGAGTGCCAACTATGAAATAGAGATTCTCAGGGAGAAAACTCAGCACAAAGAAAAGCAGTGGGATGGGGGAAGTCCTCCACCTATCCATCCATCTATCTGTCTAGCTATCTGTCTATTTATCTGTCTATCCATCCATCCACACCCTCAGGCATCCATCAATTCATCCATCCATTGATCCATCCATCTATTCATCTATCCATCTATGTACCCATCCATCCATCTACCCCCTCACCACCAACCTACCCATCCATTCACCCATCCATCTATTTGCATATGAATGAAAATATGGTGAAATTAAGCAGCACGAAGGACACAGACCTGGAGGGGTTAATGACTGAGAGGGCTAGTGAGGCTAACGTGTGAGTGCTGCTGGCTTCACTCTCTGTGGTCATTAACTTGCTCGTAAGTCTTTACCTCCATTAGCTGGGTGACCAGCAAGCCAGATCAATGGGACCATGGATGTACTGCTCTAGAGCTTTCCTTAGAGCCAAAGTCCAGCTGTCTAGACTTGTGATCTGCCCTTGGGTCAATCTGTGAAGAATAGGCTATGTGGGGTGACCGGAGTTCAGTTAAGAGCTCCGATTTCTTGTCCTAGTTCTGTCATTGCCGTGTGATCTTGAGGATATCTGTGCACCTTCCTAGGTTTCTGCTTCCTCATTTGTAAAATGGGAGAAATATGGGCCAGCAATAGACGATCCCCAAAGCCCTTTTCAGCTCTGAGTTTAAAAACTATTCTAACCCAATTAAAAACTGATCAAAGGACTTAAATAGACATTTCTCCAAAGAAGATATACAAATGGCCAACAAGCATATGAAACGATGTTCAACATATTAGTCATTACAGAAATGCAAATCAACACTTCAGTGAAATACCACTTCACACACACTAGGATGGGTATAATCAAAGAAATGGAAAATAGCAAGTGCTGACAAGGATTTGAAGAAATGGGAACCTTTGTATATTGATGGTAGAAATGTAAAATGGTACAGCCAGTGTGGAAAGCAGTTTAGTGACTCCCCAGAAAGTTAAACATAGAATTACCATATGGCCCAGCAATTTTACTTCTAGATATATACCCAAAAGAACTGAAATAAATTCAATTAATAAGTACTTAAATAAATACTTGTGCCTAAATAGTCACAGCAACACTATTCACAATAATCAGCAGGTGAAAACCGCCCAAACGTCCATTGATGAATGAATAAACAAAATGCAATGCAGTACATCCATACAATGGAATAGTATTCAGTCATACAGAGAAATGAAGCACTGATATATGCTACACTGTGTATGA